GAATCTATCCCCGTCACGATGAACCTTAAGAAGGTTACCCGGGCCTTCAACCCAGGCAAGCGACTCGTTGGATTCATCAGCGTAGCGTGCGTGCGGCCCAGAACATCTAAGGGCATCAAAGACCTCGTATTGCCTCGAACTTCCGTGGGCCAGTCGTCCAACAGTCCCTCTAAGAAGCTGGCCACGAGCGAAGGTTACCGCATAGCTATTTAGCAGGATGAGTTCTCGTTCGTTAACGGAATTAACCAGACAAATCACTCCACCAACTAAGAACGGCCATGCACCACCACCCATGGAATCAATAAAGAGCCCTGAATCAGTCAATCCTTGCTATGTCTGGACCTGGTGAGTTTCCCCGTGTTGAGTCAAAGTAAGCCGCAGGCTCCACGCCTGGTAGTGCCCTTCCGTCAATTCCTTTAAGTTTCAGCCTTGTGACCATCCCGTAAACTTTGATTTCTCACAAGGTGCTGGCAGAGTCATCCAATAGACATCCGCCAATCCCTAGTCGGCATCGTTTATGGTTGAGACTAGGACGGTATCTGATCGTCTTCRATCCCCCAACTTTCGTTCTTGATTAATGAGAACGCCCTTGGCAAATGCTTTCGGAGAAGTTCGTCATCCATAAATCCAAGAATTTCACCTCTGACAATGGAATATGAATGTCAACCGTCTCTATTAATCATTACTCCAATCCCGACGAGTCCGAAGACCAACGAAATAGGACGAGAGTCCTATCACATTATTCCATGCTAATATTTTCAGGCCTGGTTTGAACACTAATTTTTTCAAAGTAACAGCGCCAGCTCTGGATCCCAGCCAATAAAGGCCAGGAGCGCATACCCGGCAAGAAAGGTAAAAGGGCTGGTACACACCCGCAAGAGCGGACGACCCCTCCCACCCAAAATCAAACTACGAGCTTGTTAACTGCAAGTCTACATCAACTTACATATACGCAATTGGAGCCGGAATTAGTGCCACCAGACTTGCCCTCCAGTGGATCCTCTTTCAAGGAGTTTACGCCTGTTCTCATTCCAATTACCGGACTCGAAAGAGCCCAGTATTGTTATTTATTGTCACTACCTCCCTATGTCAGGATTGGGTAATTTACGCGCCTGCTGCCAACCTTGGAGGTGGTAGCCATCTCTGAGGCTCCCTGTCTGGAATCGAACCCTAATTCTACGTCACCCGTTACCACCATGGTAGGCCTCTATCCTACCATCCAAAGTTGATAGGGCGGAAATTTGAATCAAACATCGCCGGCGCAAAGGCCATGCGATTCGACAAGTCACCATGATTCACTGCAACAACGGGCAACCCCAGATTGACCTTTTTTCCAATAAATACATCCCTCCCAGAAGTCGGGATATGCTGCACGCATTAGCTCTTGAATTACCACGGTTATCCGAGTGGTAAGGAGACCACCAAATAAACTACGTCCCTATGTCAGGATTGGGTAATTTACGCGCCTGCTGCCTGCCTTGGAGGTGGTAGCCATCTCTGAGGCTCCCTGTCTGGAATCGAACCCTAATTCTACGTCACCCGTTACCACCATGGTAGGCCCCTATCCTACCATCCAAAGTTGATAGGGTGGAAATTTGAATCGAACATCGCCGGCGCAAAGGCCATGCGATTCGACAAGTCACCATGATTCGCTGCAACAACGGGCAACCCCAAATTGACCTTTTTTCCTGAGTATGGATCCGGGCCGCCCGGCCGACCAGCGCCTGCCCGGGGGAGGTCCCGGGCGGCCTGGCCGGGCGGGCGGCCCGGTTGGGGGCCGGGCACCCCCAACACACCTTGTTGGGGGGGGGGGGTCCGACCCCGAATAGCCGAGTTGTGGCATCCTCAGGGCCTACCGGGTCCGACCAGGCCCAAAAAACGGCGCGTCGGGCCCGTGAGGCCAGTTTTTTTTTTTGAATTTGTGATGGCCCTCCAGCCGTCGATCATCCATGATCGACGGCCAGAGGGCCGTTTGATTTTTGGAGGGAAAAACGAGACCCCGTTTGAACAACCGACTGGCTGGGGCGGCCTGCATCGGCTGTCCAAACGGGGCCTTGGTTTTCCCCAGCCGCCCTCGCTCCTCCTGCTGCCCGTTGTCACCATCGCCTGGGAGCTACACTCCCCCTTCGTCGTGGAGTCGCCCGTCGCCCGTCGCCAGCGTCGTGGAGTCGCCCGTCGGTCGTCCCCCTCTCACCATCTTCTTCTTCTTCTTCTTCTTCTTCTTCGTCGTCGTCTTCTTCTTCTTCTTCCTCTTCCTCTTCTTCTTCTCTCGTCCTCCTCCTCTTCCCACTATCTTCTTTTTCTTTTTTTTTTGTTGTTCCATTCGTCAGCGATAGGTCGCGAGATAAACTACAGGTAAGAAAAAAAAAAAAAAACTGCTCCCCTCGTCATCTCTTCTTCTTCTTCTTTCTTCTTCTTCTTCTTCTTCTTCTTCTCTCCTCCCCCGCCTCCCCCTCATCTTCTTCTCCTTCCTCTTCTCTCCTCCTCCTCTTCTTCTGCCCATCTTCTTCTTCTGCCCATCTTCTTCTTCTTCTTCTTCTTCTTCTTCTTCTTCTTGAAGGACCGCCGCTGCAGCCCGCCACCATACCCCGCC